TGACTCTCCTGTAGTCACGATTCGCGTATCCCGAACGGATGACGACCGAACCACCGGTACTGGTGCCATTTCCACTCAAAAGACTGATTGAGCCACCTTCGCGAGTTTTTGAAAGCCCAACTGCAACCATTATACTTCCAGTTTGTCCAGTCGATGAGTTTCCAGACAAGACGCTCACATCACCGGACGATCCAGTGCCGGAAGCGCCACTTGATACGGTAATTGAACCTGTTGACACGGCGCTTTTTCCAGTCTGAATCACTGCAGATCCTGACATAGCCATTCCTGAACCTGTTAATACAGATAGCGACCCACCAAACGATCCGTGTCCGGCAGCCACAGCAATCGATGATCCTGAGAGTCGACCAGACGACCCGCCCACAATAGAAACAGTTCCAGGACTTCCTGTTGTGCTATAGCCGGACTTCACCACGAGATCGCCAGTAACTCCATCACTTGCATTGCCTGTTGCTAGAATCGTCGAACCACTTGACCCGCTACCAATACTACCGGAAAAAAGCGATACACTGCCTGACATGATCCCGCTCGACGTATCAGCGCTTGCGATAGCAACACCACCGCTCGTTCCACTTTTAGAATCAGTACCACCAGAAGTCAATGCCAGGCCGCCACCAGAAGCGTAGCCACTATTTCCTCCAGCGACGGTTATATTTCCGGCATCTTTGGCGCTCCGTCCAGTCCGGAATCCAACGCTGCCGCTGTTGCCATCCACCGAAGAGCCCGTACTCAGCAGTACTACACCGCTGTTTTGACTAGAAGCGCCGGTCCCTAATCTAATCGCACCAGAGGCTGGGCCAGTCCGCGTCTGCAGGTCTACTCTGCCAGAGGTTTGATTGTTACTCCATCCGCCCGATATGAGAGTACTTCCTCCTTCCGAAGTAGAGCTGCCACCAGCAGAAACGTTCACGCTTCCACCAACTTGCAATACACTAAATCCCGAAGTGATCGTCAAATTGCCACCACTTACACCACCCCTACCCCCGGCAATACTCACAGTCCCGGCTATCGCACTTGAATCTCCAGTCGCCACCAACACTGAGCCCGACGCAGCCCTAGAACTGGCAACTGCTGCTGAGCGCAAGCCCACCTTTCCTGAGTTGCCCATGGTAGACGTTCCCGAAACGATATCCACTGCCCCGCCATTAGCTTTTGAGCTATCGCCAGCGTCGACAAGCACACTACCTCCACTTTCAGTCCGCGAAAAGCCTCCCGTGACCGATGTCAGCCCCACATTCGTCTCAGCGTCGCCGGTTGTCAGCGTCACGTTACCGCTTCCACGTGCTTTAGACCCAGAACTCAACGCAGATGAGATACTAATGTTGCCAGAGGGACCACCTGCTGAAACACCCGAAAAAACGTCCACAGAGCCGCCAGAGCTGCTAGATCTTGACGCCCCGGCGGATAGCTTCACACGCCCACCAGTTCCTACCACACTGGATCCTGCACCAACCACCACGCTGCCGCTGTTACCACTGGCTGAGTCACCAGATACAAGCTCAACCCAACCCGTCGAACCAAGATTGGTTTTTCCGGTGGCCATGATCAAATCCCCGGAGTCTCCTGCCGTGTCAGCACTTAAGGTAGCCACACTTACACTACCGGTATTTCCATTTACACTCCCACCAGACGAAATAGCAATCGATCCCCCAACGCTCGCCATACCGGTTGTTGTCCCTCCCTCAAGTGAGATGCTACCGCCGTGATCAGCACCGTCACCAACACCAATCACAATATTTCCAGCTTGGCCGTTAGGTGCATCACCTGAAACGATCTGGATACTGCCAGACGAACTTGATCGCGAAGTACCAGACTCAACAGATATAGAGCCACTAGCTGCCGAACCGCTACTAGTTGCAAAGGCCCCAGAATCAGCACTTGATACAGAGACATCCCCGCTCTTGTCGGGTGCATTAGCTGAGACACGGAAACGGCGATGCTGAGCGTGTATTGCCGCAACAATGTCGAGGATTATTTTCTGCTTGTCAATTTGGTGAAAATTCATCAGCCCGAAATCGCTTTCGTTGAGATAGAAGTCTCCAACGTTCACGTACTCGGGAAACGTTTCGTGGGCTTGTTGGGCGATAACACCTCGCACAACTGAATCGTCAATTCCACGAATTTTTCTCCACTCATCCGTGTATCGATATTGCTTAATTTCAAGCGTCTGTAATCGTTGAAGAATATCGTCTTCATCCACATCTTCAATGTCGGTTTTAATGCGTCGATCCGAAGGAGATATAACTTGCGGGAATTGAGCGGGGACCGTACCAACAACCATGTCACTTCGAACACGGAAAACGATGCCGTCAGCTGTGTTTGAATTAGGATTCTTGAAAAGTGCTTCTTGAGCAGAAGTCTGTTTTGTGTTCGTGCCACTGATGGATACATCGGCTGTGCGACTAGCTACTGCAACACTTCCATCATTCCCAATATCAATAAAACCTTTGAGCGCACCAGACATAATAGATATAGATCCCCCAGCAGTTTCACTTCCAGCAGCCACAGCAATATCTCCAACGACCGCATCATCAGAGCTCGAATGTGTTTTCAGCAACAAATTTCCAGGTGTACCATGACCCGAATCGCCAGTCTCCACAGTCACATCACCGCCAACACCACTCGATGACGAGCCACCAGACACACGAACAGCTCCGCCAGACCCGCTCGACGACGAAGAACCACCGCTCACGTCCACGGACCCGGAAGATCCCGTGTACGACCCACCGCCACCCACGAGAACATTGCCTCCCGATGCCGCCGTGCCGCTAGAGCCGCCCACAACACTCACCATCCCACCGGGCCCTGTGTCACTAGAGCCGCTAGACATACGCACAGCACCGGTATTGCCATCCACTGCGCCACCCGACCCAAGCGACACATCGCCGGACGCAGATGCAGCACTTGCAGCACCACTCTCAATCGACACAAGGCCGCTCCCGTCGCTGCCCACGCCGCTCGTCACAGACACCGCACCGCCCGTCGAAGAGCTGCTAGACCCTCCCGATACAGACACACGACCCGCTGCCGTAAACGCATCGCCAGACTGCACAGACACATCACCGCTGCTAGCCGCTGCCGAAGACCCCGAAGACAGCGTCACCACACCCGACGCAGCATCCACGGACTCGCCACTTCCGATCGTAGCCGAGCCGCTCAAGGCGTCGACGCTCACAGAAGCACCGCTCACAACGGTCATCTCACCGCTGCCCAGCAAGCCCGCGCCAGACGAAATGGACACGCCACCACCGACGCCAGCCTCACTCACGCCGCCGTCAAGAGAAACAACGCCTCCAGTCGCCGCTCCCGTCGAGGCCGCAACACCGGACAAGGCAACATCGCCTCCAAGGCCCGAAGATGCACTCAAAGAGCCACCTCGAACACTCACCGACCCGCCACCCACGCTGCTGGTCGTGCCAGCTCCGGCCACAATCTCGACCTTCCCGCCGTTAGCACTGCGACGAGCACCGCTAGACAAACTCACCACGCCGTCCTCGCCAGACGACACGGTCACAGAGCCTCCGCGTGCACTCGAGCCGCCGGTTGACCCACCACGGATCTCCACGCTGCCTGCATCGGACGAGCTAGCCATGCCGCTAGCCACGACCACAGACCCACTCGATCCACTTCCGCTGACGCCGGACACAACCGACAACGAACCAGAAGTACCAGAATCCGCGCTGCCCGTACGAAAGTCCACGTTGCCGCTCAAGCTGGAGTCAGTCGCAGCTGCACTGGGACACCGTAATGCTGCCGCTGTTCGCGCTCGCCATACCGCTCTCAAGCGACACAGAACCACCCTCAGACGAACCGCCGCTGCTTCCGCCACGCATCGACACGGAGCCACCACTCGATACGGTACTACTGCCACTAACCACGGACACGGACCCCGACGTACTGTCGCTCGAGTCCCACTGCCCAACGTCACGCCGCCAGACGCGCCTGTTCCCGAAGCGCCACTCATCACATCCACGGAACCCGCTGGCACTACCAGAAGTCGAAACCCACCGTTACGTCGCCACTGACAGCGGACGCATCGTCTCTTCCTCCGCTTAACACGGACACCGACCCGCCCTTAGCGACACAGCACCACCTGACACAAATACCTCGCCACCGGCATTGTCTCCAGCAGAACTGCCACCGGTTAGTCGAACGGCGCCTGCCACAGCTCCTGTAGAAGGCGATGTCGACAACAAGGAAGCTCCGCCCGTCAGCAACACGTCACCTGCCGCGGATTCAGAGCTGGTCCCACTGCGCACGTCAACATCGCCGCCGTCAGCCACCGAAGAACCAACCCACAAGTTGATGCTTCCTGCGGATGAGCTGATGCTCGTCGCCGAACCGGACAAGACATGCACATCGCCCGACACCACGCCATCTGCACTCTGCAGCCGCACATCGCCACTGCTGCTCGAGCCTTCTCCGCTTCGCAACTCCACTGACGCACCAGGGCCCGACACGCTCTCGCCGCCAGACACCCTCACATTGCCTCCCATCGCACCAGCACCACCGGCCAAAGCCAACGCACCACCCGCAGCAACAGTGCTACTACCG